AAAAAAAAAAAAAAAAAAAAAAAAAAAAAAAAAAAAAAAAAAAAAAAAAAAAAAAAAACGTGCTGTCTGCAGCTCCCGCTACTTTTCTCTTGTATATATACGTGTAGCAACTCGTTCGTTACTTAATAATTTTTGCCGACTCTTCCTCGTTAACTCCGTGTTTTGTCTGTACATACTACACTTTGCAAACCAACAACACCAAGTTGGAATTTATTTATTTTAATTAATTTGATCTTAAATTAAAAAATAATCATTATATACATAATATGGTGTGGTATTGTCTACACCATCGAAATTCGAGAGGCGCAAAAACAACGTTCAGTCTGTTGCTTGCACACCGTGTTATTTTCTCACGATACACGTACATAATACAGTAAACGGTGGTAGTACAGTGGGGATGGGAGGGGGGGAAGTAAGACACCCTTCGGTGATGCTTTTTGTTTCGCTGCTGCCAGATGTTCGACGAGCAGCACCAAGAGACGCGACCCAAGATGTGTTGCGTAATCACACTTACGGGGGTACATAATTTTTGTTTATGCGTCTTACACCGTGTTTTCGAGTAAAATGAATAAGATGTATATTTTCTTTTGTCACTTTGACCAAGTGATACATTTGCTTTCCAAGAGATTACAATATTTATCATCGTTATGGGAGTTGTCTGATTCATAAGTTTTATCACTCGTTCAAAATGTACACGCAGCTGGTGACAACTGATAAACGTATTACATACATTCGGTCGTACGCCCACACCTCGACTCTGGCGTTGAAGCCAAAAATAAATAAAACACATTCAATTCCAATGAGTCAAGTGTGTAAGGATATCGTAGCGTGAAATGCAAGAGTTTTCGCGAAAAAGCCAAAAAGGAAAAGGTCGGGCGGATCAAAATGACTTTTTAATTAAATAGGTGGGAGATTGATAGTATTGTTGACGGCGTGTGTGTGGGCAAATAGCTCTTCCACTGCCAAAGAAATTTGGCTGGTATACGTACTCTTTGTCGCCGTCTCGTAATATGTACCTACCGGTTTAGATAAAATTCATCATCGATTGCAATACACAAACAGTACAGCAGCGACTTGGTTTTCTCGTTTAATCAGAACACGTGCCCCGCATGAAAAGTAAAATTTCTGCGTTGCGTACATATTATTTCTCTGGCGCGCGATTAAAATTGCTCCTTTCCATTTGAAGAATTTGATTGGATCGGAACAATTGTCCCAAAAGAAGAAGAAGAAGAAAATAGTAATTAATTTTTCACGGACGGAAACGCGCGCATAACTCCCCTAAAATTTTACAAGCGCGCGCGCACACATGCACACTGCGCATTCCGGTGAGATACACGCATTTTATATATATAAGGCTCCCCACCTCCGTTATACACATGCGCGGTCGACCGGTTCGGCGAGTGGCGTGCTGCTTTTCCCCTTTTTTTTCAAGAGCCTCTCTTCCGAGCTGTATATATGTATAGCATAGAGGCACCCGGGTTATTCGCCTCGGTCTCGATTTTTTTGTTCCTCCGCTGCTCCAACTATGGTACAGGGAGTTTAAAGAAAATTTAGAAAAATTAATTCATTCCGTGATTTAATATTATTGAACAAATCAACATGTTAGTGCCTCGACTGCTGAGAAATAGAAGGTATAAGCTGGGGGATAGGCGAGGGCCATTTAGATTAATATGCTTGTTTATTAAACGTCGCACCCAGAGAGATTACCTAGTATTTTTTTTATTTTTTTTTAGAAAAAAAAATCCGAATCTCGGGAGCACAGCATCTCCCGCCGGCTATCATGTACGAGAGTGAATGGAGAAAGAGAGCCGAGGTATAATACACACACACGTATAGGTGTATTTCGTGTAGAGGCGAACCCCTGCAGCAGCCAGACGCGACGACGAAACAATCAATACGCGTCGACGACTTTTGATTTGAGAATACGCGACTCTCCCCCAACTTTGAGTGTAAGACATGTATATGTAGGCGATATTTTCGAAAACCGGTGCTTATGCACTTTCTTTCTTTCCTTCACGTTCGCATACGTGCGATTCGAGAGCAATTTTAGAAAGTATATATGCCCAATAACTCCGGTCGTTGAAAATTTTCAGAGCACCCAAGTAGGATTGGAAAAATCATTGTAATTTTCCAAGCTGTAGAAGTGAGTATAATACTGCCCTACAAGGACACATACAAAGAGAAACCTCGTTTATGCTTAATTTCGTGCATACTCATAAGAAAAAAAAAATTTGCACACTCTTACCATGGATTTTGGAAACTGTAAAATAATGATGCAGGATAAATAAACAACTGTATAATTATGTAGAAAGCCCTTTGCACTTGAAATGTTTTTCTCCATTTTTGCACGTATGAATGGACAAGAATTTTCATTATTCCCCGATACGCTCCTTTTAATTTCTATTCTTTCGTTTTGAGGTTAAGAATTTACCGACGAATCGAAATCGCGCATGAATTGCACGTTTTCGTTTGCATTTTCACAAAGGAAAATCCAGCCACTTTCAAGTGTATCCGTGTGTGCAAAATTACAGTGCAATCGATTACACCCACGAACTATACTTGTATTTAGCTCCGAAAAACAAACTACACATCTATTTATCATATTGTCAAAGTGGAACAAACTAAAAACAATTCAATTGCGACTGTGTCAAAAGCTTTAAATTAAATTTGCAATCAGTACACTTACGTATTAACACACTAGTACGTGCACACGAATAAAAGCACAATTAAAAACTTTTAATATATACGCAAGGAGGAAAACCCATTGTCGCACGTATATATATAGGCGGTTCGCAGGCATCAAGAAAGTATTGCGCATAGTTGCGATCATTGAATGGAATCTTGAGGTGCGGAAAATGCACGCACAACAGGGGTACTCTGCTGCTATTTCCCGTCAAAACACGGCCATTAGTTTAATACGTATAAACAAGAGGTGGACATTTCTCTTTCTGTGGTGTACGCGATTGAAAACCGGAGCAGAGGAGAGAATAAAATTCATACAAGTATACACACATACGTACACCGCTTTCAAACACACATAGGCACAGCAGCCGCGTCGTCCATCTCGCGCTTGCTAATATATATTTTGATTTATGACTCCCTGCAATTTACGGAAAAGCAGATTTAACGGATTACAAGTGTACCTGCTCTCCGGAAAGTCACAAAAAATCCCTCTCTGAGTCCGGAGTACCGAGATTACACACACACACACACACACCTACGCAGTCGAGGTAGGGGAGCTTCTAACCTCAAAACATTGCTCCACCGATAACAAGAGCGAATTTGAGCGACCAACGAAATTGAGGGCGAGTAAAATCCACGGAGCCAAGCGCACGTATACTTATATGACTCGCGGATATGGTGAGATCAAGTATCACAGGCCCCACGGAAAAACGAGAGCATCAACTTGGTGCGGTGAAAAACGTGCGCGTCCACAAACACTTGCCCATACATTATATGTGTGTTACCCACACACCGGTATGGGGCGGCGTGCTTTTTCCCTTCCTTCACCTACTACACACTCGTGAACGTATGGTGGCCTCCACCATCGCCGCGTTTGTAACGAAAAGGAGAGAGGAAGCCGATGATGCCTAATACCCCGGGGTACCGCGGTAAATAGTAAAAGTAGTAGGCCGTGCCGCAGCGAGTGGAAAAGCTTACCTCGGGCGACGCCGGTGTTTTTTATCTGCGTGAATAGATGATGTCTTCTCATCTGAAGCGGCACTGCACACTCAACGACGTGAAAAACAACAATAACAACGAGAGTTGTGCTCAGAGGAGGATAGGCGAGTGTGTATGTATATATCGTATACACACACACAGGTGGAGGAAAAAGGGTAAGGGGAAAAAAGGAGAAAAAAAAAACCAATGGACTGATGTGTGCGTCGCGGAGTGCAAAAGATGCTACGAGGAGCTGCTTGATATGGCTTCCGCGGTGGGGTGCTTTTTCTCTCTTGCGATGCACGAAGTTTAATACACACACGCGCCGTCCGCGAGAACACACTCCACGAGAGCTGTGGTGCTACGCCGTTAAGGTACGTGAGGGAACTGCTTAGCTCTAGCCTCTAGCTTTCTGTTCCTGGCGTTCCTGCTATAAGGGGGAGGGGGAGAGCAGGACTGTAGCGAGACTAGCGAGAGAGGGGCAAAAGAGGGGAGAGCAGGACTGTAGCGAGAGAGGGGCAAAAGAGGGGAGAGCACGGCGCGCGAAAACGACATCAGCCAGACGTTTAGGTTTATATATAGGTATATGCTTACTGCTATAAACGTGATAGGTATTGTGTATATAAGGTTGCACAGAGAAGGAGAGACGCTTTTTACACATGCGTCTATATGCCTCCTTATCTCGTTACTCGTGTCGTCTGCGCGCAGTCGCTGTAAAAGGTGCGCTCGATTTTTTTTTTTAAATTCTTTATTCCCCTCTAGTTTTATCCAAATTAAATTGAGTTACGTGTAAAAACGTTGTTTGGTTTGGCCTGCGAAGCGTCCTGTGGACGAAAAATGAGGGCAGCCCAATAGTTAATGATCCATTGTATTATGTAACATGTGCAAACACATGTGTTTCGATTAATATTTTAATGTACTTAATATTGATGAATGGATGGAAAACAAAAATCGTTTCGCGTGAGACTCTAAAAAATTGAAGTTGTATGGTCGATAAAAAGCAAATTTAAAGTGACTCTAATCCTGTGGAATTGAATGGAAAGAAAATGTCGAGAAAAACGTTATTAAAATTTAATCTTTTTACTTCAACTTTCACAACCAACATTTTGAAACGTATATGAATATAGTTATGAATGGTTGTAAATCTGAGAAAAATGATACTTTTACGTACTCATTTTGTAATTTTGCCTGGTATATTTAAGTATTGCAGCTGAGAAACGTTTTTTAACACAGGCAGGTTCTTTTTTTTCCATGCTATTGTTTCAAAAGAATAATTATTTGTACGTAGGAATAAAATAACGAGTATCTTTTTAAAGAAACTGTTATGAATTCGTAAGAAATTAGCAACATGACGAGGAGTATGTTATGGTAATCACGTTCAAACTAACAATCGTGCGCGTGACACAAGAAAGTTTATAGTTTTTACGAATGTTAAGCTTCACGTTGAAAGTCGAGAAAATCTATAAAATTTTTTACTCCCACGAGCATCATGTTACATAAATAAAAAAAAAAAAAAAAAAAAAAAAAAAAAAAAAAAAAAAAAAAAAAAAAAAA